TGCTTAGCATGTGTGAGGCTATGGGTTCAATCCTCAGCATCAGGATAAAAAGGCAAAAATAAGACAGCATGCTGTACTGTTGATGTCAATTTGAAAATTATATTGTTACTTTTATATTTGGCTGCGTATTCATTTGATTCTTCTGGAAAACCTTGTTCTAGGTAAAGTTAAGTAGCATCTTGAATAATGGTGGAAGCACCATATCTTATTGTCTATTTGTATTTTAGACCTTTATGGATAAGCTTATTTTCAAATTACCATGCTAAAGAAACTTGGGTTTGAATTATATTTTTCATTAGCAATTCTAATGTAACCTGTGGGCACTGGTTCACTCTAACCACCATACCTTCCATATGCGATAATTCAAAGAAGGAAACATGGTTAATTTAAATTTAAATTGAAACCACAAATGCTTTCTGAAGTGTTAGCTAGAACTGTGTATTTATTTATTTTTTATAATGGTAACATTTTCCAAAAGACTTCATTGCCTTCTTTCTAGTTGAGATTAAAAAATGACAGTGTCATTTTCTTATGTATGACAAGCACATGAAGGCGGGTGTGGTGGTGCATGGCTATAACCCCAGGCTTGGAAAGTTGAGGCAGGAGGATCATCACAGTGAGGCCCATCTGGGCTACATAGTGAGTTGAAGATGAACCTGAGCTACATAGTGAGACCCTGTCTCGGAAAATAAAATAAAGTAAGAACAAGAAAGAATAACAACAGGAAAAAAGAAATAATCTACTCTTACAAAAACTAGGTTTTGGAAAAAGAGAATATAGAAAAGTTTATGGAAGAAAGCAAAAAAATCACTCATAATTTCATTGTTTAGAGATAACAATTACAAATATTTTGATGTGATTCATTCACATCAAATGATTCTAGTCTTTTTTTCCAGATATTCTATCAAGTGTTCATACTATAATGTCCCATTCTACCACTGTTAAACATTTAAGATGTTTCCAAATTTTTACTCTTATGAGTAATATAATAAGGATCATATCCATATTTAGTATTTATTTACTTTTAATTTCCTGTTAATTTTTAGAGCAACAAACTCTTAACCAATTTTAATCTTTAATTTTCTATGTAACATATATCATGTGTTTTTACAGGATTACATAATTTTATACTATATAATAAAATTTAAACTACACAATAATTTTATAATATATAATATATGATATATGTATCTTTTTAATAGGAACAAGATGAAAAAGATAATACTAAAAGGGTAAGATAATTTTCATGAATATATACATTAAAATAATAAAGGAAACCACTAATCATTTATGGTGTAACTCATTTCCTTTTTTGTAACAGTTCTTATTTCATTATTCGAAGACACGGAAGTTGGGCAATTCAAATGTCATGGTAAGTCGCAAACTACTTATTAGTAATCACTACTATTTGCTTTAAAAAAATCTGTCTTTGAAGTTTTATATAACTAGATAAAAGTTCAAATGTTTTACATTAAAGGATTATATCTATTTAACTTATTTTATGTTAATAACTACATGTACATTAAATTAATTCATTCAACAATTATTTACTAAGTATCTACTATGTGCCAAGCACAATTATAAGTACTAGAAATACAGCAGTGAATAATATCAGACAAAATTTTTTTAAAAACCCTGTCCTCATTAAGTTTACATTGTAAGGCAAACAAACAAAAGCAAGTAAATAAGTAAAATACATTGTTTTAGATGGCAGTTAGTGCAAGGAAAAAATAGTTTTATGCAAAAGTCTTTTGGGAATTGCTTTAAAAGGTGATTATCAAAAATTTAAATCCAACTAAAAATATCCTCTTCTATTCCTAGGGTCCTTATTCCTTATCAGAAATTAGTAACTTAATATGAAAATTTACTAAAAGATTAACCAGAAATCAGTAATTTAAATTCAGTTCACTTTAAACTCATTTGGAAAAAAAGAAAGAAAAAATAAATAAAC